CGTATTGAAATATTGAACCTTCTATCATCTAACAGTCTACTTTATAACTTCTAAATCAGCTGAAATCAAGCTGATGGTCCGAACAGATATCTATGGAGCGGAATTTCGTGTCAATAGTATGCAAAAATCTTATGTTTTTGAATCTTCGTATGTTTGAAAAAGACTTATAGACAAAGGTTAATTCAATTCCCCAAACTAAAGTTTGATACTTAAATCTTGCAGCTGTAATTGAAAAGTATTAAAATATGATATTTTTTATTAGATCACTTCTCGTTTATGGATATAGTATGTATATGAAGTTTTGCTAACTAGGCTTGGAAACTGTTCAACGCATGCATTTGAAGAAGTATATAGAACGAAATGCTATCAAAAGAATTCGAACGCACAATTACTACGGTAGCCCTGTAGATTGAAAATGGAATTTGAACGAACTTTCACGACTAAATATAAAGCCTCGAATTAGTAAAATCGCACTAATAACTTCTTCTTTGTAACTATTCTGGCAAACTAACCTGATAAAGCTTCCTGGGGTTCAGTTTGAGTCTCGAGTTCTGCAGTAAAAGCAGAACTGCTTGTTTTATGAATAGAACTCGATCCTGTTCATTCGTTGTCTGTTCCGCGCTTATTGTTGCGCTAGGATCGAACCTAAAACATTCTTTTTACATTATCTCATAACATTCATATTCTACCTGCGGTTAGCAAATGGTTGTACCTCTTAACAATCCACTCTAACAATTCAGCAACAAGTTTGAAATTTGGTGTGCGGAAGTTTTCAAGTGATAGGATGCGAGGATAGCCAATAGCTCGAGTCATCTCACAGAGATCTCAAATTGGTTATTGCTGCTTAAAGTCAATTAATAAGCGTTATACTTACTTCTTAGCTCTCGATAGGACATGACTGCAAAGTAAGGAGTGTTTTGCTTATTTACAATACCTTGTGGGGATGTGTCCCCATGGCAACATACGCGAACTGGCATATTTCGCGTTAATTTATGAGTTTAGCCCTCATTATAACT